ACAGGTTAAAAAAAATGAATGAAAGCTTACAATAATCTGTGAATTGGGGGTCAGCTTGCTGAATAGCGAGCGATTCTGGAACAATGAACGTGTATTGATCAACCAATGTATCCAGTCCTAGAAAGAGCCAGGCCTACATTAAACTGCAAAAGTAAATCCAATTGAGTGGAACGCTAAGCTGAGTGTGTTTGATGCCCATTGTGAGGATTGTGCGTAAGCTCCAAATGTACAGAATAACATGGATTGAATCTGAGAGCAGAAGCAACCTATGGTCACCAACAGGGGCTTATTATGGCAGAAAATCATTTCAATCCAAACAGAGCCCCAGAAACAAATGTAATATGACATGCTAATCTGTGGGCAGGTTGACACCACTAAAACAAAACATATGCATTGAGATGCTTGGGTTCAAAAACCTGTACTTGGCCTACACAGCTTGCTGCATTGATCTGCTGAGGTTTCCAAGCTAGTATGACAGGTGAAGAATTGCTGTAAACATAACCACACTCTTACAATATCTTATAAAAAAATATTAGACAACTTATATCATGCACACCTGCATAGATAGACAGATGTTTTCATTCAAAATTTATATATCCATTTTTTAAATTTGTAAACAGGTACTATAAATATATTTCATTGTATGTGTTAAGAGCTACAAGTATTTTAATATTAGGTTTATTTTACACTACATGTGGTGAAGAGAGTAATCAAAAGGCCAATATTTTATATGTGATATAAAAGACCAGCTTTTACAGTATGCAATAAAAACTAAAATCTATAGAGTAAAAATATTGCATGTATCATCACTACTTTTGCTGTTTTTCTATGTCATATTTAAGTATGGTATTTCTTTGTTGGAACATATTGATTGCATTGAAAATAATTTGCTGTTTGTGCAAAGTAAAAAGAGAAAAATATAATCTAGGTCTGCCTTTTTAAATTAATTTAATCGATGTATTTATATATTTATGTCTTCCAGAGCTGATAATCTCGTTTACATATATCGATTTGTTGATTGAATCAATTCCCTCTTTTTTAGGAATGTAGCCGAAAAGGACAAGTGAAAGGGTTGAAAAATACCGTTAACGAATGTAAATTAATTGTTCTGTAAAAAATGTAAATTATGTTTCTTTTATAAACAAAATAATCACCAAAATGTGCTCAATGAGAACGGTGCAGTTGGTGTAGGTGTGAACAGAGTGCAGGATATCCGGAGCACTGACAGGTGCAGACGAATATATATTTTAGAATAATATTGCGACAAATGAAAATATTAGTGACAGTGTATATATGTCTGTCTAATGTAACAAACGCCTGCAAAGCTGAATGAAGCGCTTTCACTATTTGTTAGAGCAGTTTATGAAAAAATAAATACAAAGCAGGATCCCCATATGAACAGCCAGTGTGAGGTGCATTCACCTATATGTACTATCCTATGATACAACCCGGACAGGTGTGCACAGTGCAGCCCCTTCATTTGTATGCAGCAACTTGCACTGTCACACACTCCACATTGGCAGATTAATGCTCAGATAACGCCAACAAGGGGATCCAACGGTCTAATTCAAAGCGCTTGTTTCCACTATTGATCCATGTAAATAAATGGAGATTCTGCTCGACCAAACTGTCGTAAAAAAATACGCCCCAAATCGACGCAAGCTTCGGCTTATCAATTGTGTCTTACCATGGGCCCCTTAGAAGCAGTTAACCCTCTCAGCCAGGTCTATGATTGGGGCATTTGCTACTACCTAGGGGACCCAGAAACATTTTCCGATGTCCACAAATCAATTGTGACATTTTTTTCCGTGCCCAGTAATACATGAATGACTAGGAATTCAATAATGCAATATGATATATATACAGAAGAGAAATGTGTGCAGATATTATGCATGATGGAGAATAGTAGAATGGTAATGGGCCCCTTAGTGTGTAAGCAGGCACATCACTGTGTGGTGTACAGCAGTCAGTGTATGTGGAGTACACTACGGAGATCTATACAGAAGACAGAGCAATGTGTTTAGGGGATGCATGATGCAGAATAGTGGAATGGTGGCATGATTGTCCCTCAACAGGCACATTACTGTGTGGTGTACAGCAGACAATGTACATGGAGCACACTATATAGCACAGTGGCAGCACTATCAGGCACATAGACAGGAGAGCACACACACAGCACAAAGTGCCTGAGGAGGATGGATCTGGCCCTTCCCTTTTTTGTCTTTAGAACAGATCGCCTGTGACAGCACCTCGGATTGACTGCCTGGCATTCTCCAGGGACGAATTAATGAAGACCTGCCAGTTAATTAAACCCTTAAATAAGGCTCTGCTTTCTATTAAACTCGAGGAATCAGTTATTATAAAAATGATCACAAAGCATGCTAGGTTTCCTAAAACGCTAAGCACTGCTATCTGGCTGGAAGAATATATGCTGTGAATGGAATTGGCCAAGTACATTTCATTACACATATACAGCATTAATTAACAGAACGCCAGCCTGGCTGACTCTCTGCCATCTGCATCATTTAAGCTCAGATAGTGGTATATGCATACACATCACTGTACAGGTGTATTAATACATCTCTAAGAACAATATAGAATGTTCTAACTTCTGCATGAATGGCTCCTAAAATGTTTTTTTTCTTCAACTAAGGGATAACAACACATGACAGTCTTGTGTAACAGAGGACACATACATTCTTTTACATTGCCATATATTGACTGTACAAATGGTTTCAGCAATCAGCTCTTTAGGATAACTCTTTTAAGAGGGTGATTAAACTTAGATTTACTAATCAATAAATTGGGTGTCAAAATTAATTCAGGGATGCCTTGGACCTGTCCCGGCCTACGGTTTTAATAAGCTGTTCTTTACTGAAGGGTTTTGAAATGTAATAAGGCCCAATCATAGGAGATTTCAGAGGACCTGAGAAGAGTTGTTGATGATCATTACAACAGGATTTCTATAGATTTGGGCCTCTGTCAGTCCACAGTGAGGCAGATAGCTTACAAATGAAAGAAATTCAGCAGCATTGCTGCTCTCCTCAGCAGTTGGTGTCCTACAGAGATAACTACATGGGCATGTTATACTGTACTGAGACAGGGGACAAATAACGCCGGGATAACAACTGCAGGCATCTCTTGCTCTTAACAACATATATGTTCATGAGTGTGCCAGAAATAAAACACTGGACACAAGATGCATTTACCACAGGGGAAACTACCTCTCTGCCCCAAGATAACATTGCTGCCCATCTCAAGTTTGCAAGGCCCACCTCAATGTTCCACAATACTGAAACAATGTTCTGTTGACAGATAAGACAGTAGTTGCACTCTATAGTAAATGTACACCATGAAATCAAACACTGCATGCAAACCCCTAATCCTCATCCCATCTGTGAAGTATGGTGAAAAGAACATCAGAGCGTTGCTGCCTTTGGGCCCGGACAAATTCCAAATTGTATATGGGAGTTCCAAAACAGAATTTCAGTATATCTGAGATCTCAAAAAAGGACATACAACAAACAAACAAACATGAGTAAAACCACAATCACAGGTAAATAAATGCCTGTAAATACCAGTACCACCTGTGTACACCTGTACCAGTAACACCTGTGGTATAAAAATATCTGTAATACATACATGAAAGAGTATCCAAAAAAGAGAAGTATCCAACAAAAGAGAAGTATCCCATATTTTAAAAAAAGGTCATATTAAAATCAGGACCTCAATCCCATCCAAATGGTGTGATCTGAACCAGGCCATCCAAGTATAGAGTATCCAAATATACACCTTCAGTGAAATATGTTTCTGTACAGAAATATGTCTAACTGATGTGTAGGTCAAAGCCTTTGGTTGAAGGTATTGCCAACAGAAGAGAGAAGGTTCCTCTAGTAACTACATTTAAAGGGTCATATATTTTTCCCATCGATGACATTGATTGTTATAACCATATGTTCAATGAGGATAGGGCAATGTAAAAGTATGTGTTTTTCTAAATAACCGTGCTGTTAGACCACTTAAATGAAGATCAGATCACACAGTAGGAGTCGTGCATAGAGAACTGTCCTCTATTCTCCCAGTGCCTATGTGTATATATAGCCAAGTAACTCTAGGTAGTAGAAAGTGTAAATTGTATCAGGACTGGCTCCTAGCCATCCTTTCTACCAGCCATCAATACACAGATCAATAAAGGAAAATATCTAGATACAACACCCATACAACTATCCAGAGAGGCAATCTTTATGTCAGGTTAACAGCTGTCATCCTTTGTACCACATTACTGTAGTCTTTAAAAAAAAAAAGAAAGAAAGAAAAAAAACTGGTAACAATGTTCCCAGTGTGTTACATAATGACAAGGTGTGTTTACATTCTAAGGGAAATCATGACTCGGTAAGTGTAAACGTCTCTGCGAGTATTGATTTATCGATTAATAGATAGGTATCAATCAATCGATATTAATTGTTTGACAAAGACAATGGGTGGTAGATAAGAGCAGAGGGTGTGCTCCTTGGCCTCCGAATTTCACGTGGGATTTACACTATTGCTACTGAAACATGACATTTTGGAATATGTGGGAAGGGAGGGTTGTGGAACTAATGGACATCCAGGAGACCTGGTCATAGTAGATGCAGCTAGCAGCACTGTTTCCTACTGTGCAGAGAGGGTAGAAGATCCTATTGTGTGCACATGCCAGGGTGAAAGGTTCAGGAGACAGATGACAGGCTACTTGTAGTATTTCCTAGAATACCAGCTTAGGCATATACCCCCTATGTAAGGAAAGGAGCTAGAAGTGGGAGCTCTACACAAAAGGGATGCAGGCACACCGCATAGAAGTCACAGGGCACTGGTCATGGCTCTGTAGTAGGTGAACACAAAAGCAGCAGAGCAGACAGTCAAGATGACAGCCTATAGAGATGAATGTACAGTAGGGAGGGTGTCTAAATGGGAACATATATGGGAAACATATATATATGGGGGGGGGGGGGGGTTCTGCTCACCTGCTAGCCTGAGAGCTGACATCCTCTGGAATTCTGGCTCCTGAAGCCACTTCCACATCCTGCGAAAAGTCTCCCGGCCCGATTTGAGTTTGCTCCAAGGTTTGGGGTTCCTCAGCAGATCTGAGAGGGTCCCTTGCGAGCGGCACAGTACCCTCTGGGCAAAGATCGCCTGGGGGATGCTGTACCGCTTTAGCTCAGTGGTGATTCTCTGAGCTACTTCTTTGGTATTAATTTCTTCCATTTGCCCTGAATTACTTCCATTGTTGACCTGGGAACCAGTCATGGATGTTGGGTTTTGCTCCCTGGCGGAGCCCAGAATCTGTCCGTGACTCTGGGCATTTAAATGGGTATGGGGGTGGTGGGGGATCCCGTTGATAGGCACCATGCCAGCAGATGGCGGGGTGAGATGCTGTTCTCCATGCCTGGATAACATGGCAGGGTGATGGGCTTCGAAGCCGTTGGGAGTGAGCATTTTCTCGGTAGGCATGGTGGCACTGGGGTGAGCGTAGTGAGGCAAGCCTTGCTGGGCATTGTGGATGCTCCCCAGACCAGATCCGGAGAGCGGAGACAAGCTTTGCCCCATACCGGTGACATCCTTGTGGTAAGGGCTGTACAGATTGTTCATGGAGGTCAGCCCTCTGTCATCCCTCATGAGGGTGAAGCTACCGCTGACATTGCCCGGTATCCGCTGGTGAGGGTGATGATGGTGGTGGTGGTGGTGATGGGGGAATTTGTCCGATACGGTGGAGATGGGTGGCAAGGGCTGCAGGGGGGTCAGCGTGGTGTAGGTGCTGCTCATGCTCATGCCCGGTGGGGTTTCACAAGCCATGGTCATGGTGGGATGGAGTGGCCCCGTTAAAGCATGCTCCGGGGGTCGGTGGTGGTGGTGATGGTAATCTCCTCCGTCCAGGATCGATGCCATGCCCATGGATCGCGGATGGGCAGCCAGATGATTGCTGCGATGGCCCAACGATCCCCTATGATGTGGGCTGTTGCTCATTAGATCAGCAGTAGCCTGATCATGGCTCACCCCGTGCAGATCCCCAATATTGTCCATGGTCAGTTGAGCGTTCATGTTTATACGTGCAGGCTTGTGGACAACACATCTATCTGGCGTGCAGGTTAAACGTCCCAGGAATGCTTTACATTGAACTTCTTGCTTCCTTCACTTGTTTCTTCATTAGATTTCTTTCTTTTTTGTTGTTGTTATTCTTATTTTTTTTTTCCTATAGCTTTAAGGCCCGTTTCCCTTTATCAGAGCATCAGCAGCAGTGATTGGAGTCTGCTCATTCCCCTCGCCATCTCTTGCCATGTCTCTCACTCTTCAATGTGTATAGAGAGTCACAGTGCAGCCCCTGCAGCTGCCGAGCCGTACCGAGCATGCGCAGTGGGGAGCGCACGGCTCCTCGTGACGTCACTGCCACTCTTTATTAAGGTTGCAAGGCTTCTATTTACCATGTGAAAGCCAGCTTCCAGCTAGCGCCAGCTACAGATCTCCGGCCACTCTACAGCAGGGGGAACTGCCCCTTTCTTATAGAAATAAAAACACCAAACAAAAAACAGATTCTAGAACATGAAGAATAGATTTGGTCATGCCTCTATTTAATTGATGTATTGATATTATTATAAATTCAGCAAATAAAATATAAGCTGCTGAAATCAGAGGGTTAAAGTCGTAGGAAAATGTGCATCCATTAACAGGATATATAGGTATTGGTGTGAAGCTTCAGCTATGGAAGTACTACAAGTCCCATTATCTGCCATAGGTGCATGATGCCCAAGCATGGTCATAGCCACATGTCCCCTTACACTTTATTATAAAAGGCAGTGCTATCACTTGAATGGGCTTAGATGATCATGATATAGATTGATTCCCAATGCCAATCAGCAGCTGATGCATAAAGCCCAGTGTTCATAGACTCACTGGCAGTGTTCTCCCTGCATGTCAGACACAAGGCAGTTCACTCTTCTAATTACACCCCCAGGTCCCTCCCCTTCTACTGACTTTGCATTAGGAGTGTGTGTGTGCTCGTTCAAATTGAATTTTAATTTGAACTTCCGGGTTTTCCTCCAGTCAACGCACCAAGGTAAAACACTGATTCCTATAACCAGCCAACAAATTAGCACAGCCTGGTACTGACTCTCACCCTCATCTGATAAGGAAAAGAAAAACCTCATTAATAAATAGCTAAAATGGTTTCTTCCCTACTCATCAGGGGACATGAGAACACAGCTCTGCAAGATTAATAATATCTTTCTCCACTCTTCTGTCTTAAATAGTCGTTTCAGTGGCAAGCTAAAATGATACAGCTGATCAAATGATCAATTATATTAACCAAAAGAGCAACAAAATGGGCAAAGAATGTACAGAAACACGCTGAAATCGTCTGTATGGACTATATTACTGTAGGGTTTAATCAGAAACGTGCAAGGAAATGAAAAAGGTTTTTCTCATTTCTTTATAAGAGATAACATTTGTATTTGAATTGTACATGTCATTGCCCCATGCGCTGTCCTTGGCACACTGAGATAGACAGTAGGATAATTGGAATCATTGGCAGATTAGTGTGTGATGGAAATGACAGGGACATGCAGGTGTTAGAAGAAGCCACCATAGGATTGTGTTGAAAGCCAGGACAGATGTGCCTATTGTGTAACGCCAAGCCACACAAAATCACTGCAGCCGAAATGTCCTGTCCTTGTGTCAGCAATGGTCAGTGCACATTTAACCCTTCCCTGATTGACTCCGGCCCTGGCCATTGTACAGCGCCAATGACCCCACGATCTGCCATTAGATTTACCAGCAAGGACGGTGTAAGCTTTACGCTTACAGCTAATCCACTTTGCTACAATTCAAATCAAGCAGACAACAGTGTTACCAATTCAACGGGGATTTTTTTTTCTTTATTGATTAGAAAATATTTTACCATATTCGTCTTCATGGGCAGTTAACTGGGAGTGCAGCTAATTAGCATCTGGAGAGGGGAGGAAGCTTCACTATAAAGAACTAACACCTAATGAAATCCAACGTAGGCAGACAAGGGCTTTTCTTTTTCTCCTTACAACTGCTATGCATTAGAGCAGGGTCAGTCTTCTGCCTGTTATCAAAGTGTGATGAATGGCTGATACTGAGGGTGAAAATGTGGACCACAGGACACAATACAGTGGACCTCGGCACCAACAATCAATTGTCATTTGGGCTGATCTCTTCCAAATGCCTAACAAACACATTTATTCCATATTTTGTAGATCATTGGATAGTTATGGACAAAACACATGCTGTTCATTTTCATAGCATATTTTTTTTTTTTTTACTTATTTCCTTGAGTGTGCCCTCCACACACTTGGATCAATAAAGCACGAAATGCCCTGGCAGTAAGACAATGTTGTGGTGTGTTGCAATTACAGCGTGATTTCCTTTGTAATGGGCACACAGTGGTTGTAGGAGGATGGTGACGCCCCCGGCCCTTGCTGTCCATGTGTTGGTGGTGACAGCTTGCACTGGTCAGTGGATGGAGGGCTCTGCTCTTCTCCAATAGGCAGAGTGTCAAAGGTGACGCGTGAAGACTCCAAAAGCCAACAGCTGCCAGCTGGACAGTTGAATTTCTCCAGAGCTTCCTGCAAACTTGCCCATCTACCAATGCATCTACATCTGTCGCTGCAGTCACATAATGGAGAGAGGGAGGAAGGAGGGGTGTACATTTAGATTTCTTCCCTTTTTTTTTCTATTTCTACAAATAAAATAATTAAAAGGCTACAAGTATTTAGTGGTAGACTTGCAAGTTAGTAGAAGAGCCAATCAAACTCAAAGCATCTTATACAGAGTGCTCATCAACAATCAACCATAAACGTATACATCAATGGATACACCTTCAAACCGATACACATGGTGCAATGACAATAACATGTCCAGGATAAGCAGATGAAATCAGAAGAACCGATCGGAGTTAGGAAGCAGTACTCAAACTTTACATATATGTGGGAGATGGGGACCCCAGAGCTGACACACCTGATAAAAGACAATGGTCAGTGAGGCTATAGGCCCAGGGTGTAGACTGGCTAAAATGGAGCGCATCATGGTATTAGTAGATGCAGCATCTGCTCATATTCTCATAGTGGTCGATATTTTTCATTCACACTCGTGTCTTTCTGCTTTGCAAGAGGGGAAAATTACACTTTTGTTAAGGTTCATTCAAGCGGCCTTCATATGGGTGTCTGTTCCTTCTATCCAACGATTAGTTCACTAACTAAAAACCGCATCGCCTACTTATCTGGTCAGAAAGAAAGCCTCGCAGCCATTGCTACATAGATAAAATGATGCTTGATAAGCCTTGTTTGCCATTCGGACCCATTGTTGTGGCTGAGGATATCTGTCCTGCAGAATAACTGTTCATAGATATGCCAGCCCTTCCTTATAGAGCATCGGCTCTCTTCTTAATACCTGGCTCTTTCTATATAATCCTTACTTATACAATCGTGTTGAATGGTTTCAATGGCTGAGACGATTCAATAAAGAGCTTATTATGCAGACACACAAAAAGAGACACACACAAACACACACCTAGTCCTAATTACCATAGTGTAGGAGTGATAGTTGTGATCTTATATGATCAGACATCACACCAACATCAGCTGCCTCATTATAATATGAATTCATATAATGCACACAATCCCTGAAAAAACTAAAGTACATGCATACATGCTTCATCATTTAACAGGAGCAGTATACACACACCTTAGCCTTATAGTTGTGAAATGATATGATCATACAGAACAGGCACCCTCACTGCTGCCTCTGTATTTTGATTTTATATAATTTCATGTAACATACATGCAAACGATTTTTAATAAACGCAGGGGCAAAATACACACGAACTCACACATTTGATCAGACACACAAATGCAGGGACACACAAGCAGATTTTATTTACAATAGGACTACAAGTACACATTCTTTAGTAGGAAAACACACCTTTGGACAGCATTCTTACCTGTATGTCAATGTGTTTAGCTAGCTTGTTTTACTAATCCCTCCACATTGTACAATTACAACTATATGTCCTATACTTACCTGTTTGGTATATATTAAATAAAAGAGATAACAGCAGTGTAATT